CCAGGAAGAAGGGCAAGATGGGAATTTCATACGATATAAATTACGTTTGCATTGAACTTGATTGTTGATTAAGATTTAAGCATCTAGAAAGGGGTATCAGCAGATTGGATGCATGTGATTTGCAGTTGAAGAAATAAAAGTTGATTACAGGTTTAGCAAAAGCTGATTTTGCTATATATAATATGAACCACTCATGTCATAGAACAAGAAAAGCTCTTTTCAATAATATCATATAAAAACACAAAAATAAACTATTCGAATAGATGATATGCTCATTCTTTTCCTTTGATTTCGAATATATACGTCATGGGCATCTAAAGGAATTCAACTTCCACCTCCTCCACCGCCCAACCATAATCACCACCACTTCACGATAACGCCATTGACTAAAAGAACCCTTCTTATTCGCAATCATACCCATTTAAATCGCACGTGTTCTCGAATTTGGGAAAGAAAAGAAAAGGGGAAAAGAATGGAAAGGAAACAAAGTGTTCTTGTTCTTGAACCGAGAGAAAGGAAATGAAAGATGTCATCTTTTCAAATATATTGTTTTATGAGGGTATTTTCGTCATAAAAGATCATAGGTTTTCTTTCTTTCCACATTTCGGAGGAAACATAGATGGTATTTTTCCCTCCTATTCCTTTTCTTCCGCTCCTAAAAAGTTCAGAGAACAGATGATCTTTTTGTAAAGGTTTTGAGAACACGGTGAAAATTTCGTGCTTCCCTTGATACCCGGGCCTATAACTATGAAAAATCATACAAAATGTAGGAAGATGATTCCAAGGATTAATCAGATATCAGAGACATAAAACAAAGTAACCATGCAAAATTATTGAAGGATATCATTTCAGTGAAAGACACATTCTTTATGATGGAAAGACAAATATACAGTTCTTAACCAACAAGATAAGAAGTTATTGCAGGGAAAGTTGGGTGGTGGGTGGTTCTTTTGTCCTTGACATTCTACTTTCGGCATGATTAACCATTAACAGGTAGACCATAAATATATAACAAACAAAAGATACGCGCTACCAAGCGTCTTTTTCGATCACTGTATGTGTGGGATGAAGTGGAAAGGTACAACACAAAAGAGACATACAAGTTCTCAAAGAAGAACAAAGAAAGTGCAGGAACTGATAATAACATAGATACACTCTCACTTCCAAACTGATCTCAATTCTAATCATCTACAAGAATCAATGATTATGGTTAGATTTGTGAAACAATCATACGGATTTTTCATTAGAATTCGTAATCAGAGAGAGGCTCTTTTATTAGAAAGAGAGTGAGCATAATAAGAGGGACAAAGATGATGAAATCTCTTGTCATGCTTTTTTCCCATTTCTTTATGAGATTGTGGGAACATGTGGCCAGCTATGCTAGTTTGAAACTCTGAATGGTTCACATGAGGTCGGGAAAAGGTGTCCTTTTCTTGGTTTTGTTTAGTGGGTGATTAATTGTGTATTAAATGTAATCTTCAGCTAATTAAAGCAACCCTGATTGATGATGTTAGAACCTGATTTTCCCATGCCAAGTTACAACATGAAAGAAATAGATCATGGATTTAGTGAATTATTGTCTTATTAGTTGAATACTGATTGGATGATGAGAATACTAGAAACATCAACTTATATAGATTCCCATTCTATAAAAATTGCACATCTAAAAGTGTTTTGGCTTCTAGTTAATTGTCTAAAATACCCTTGAGTATTTAACAAAATAGGGGGGACCTTGTGTATGATATCATTTAAAAGAGAGGGTATTATCTGCCAAGGAATTGGCATGGGTATGTCTCCTTGTTTCACACTCCTGGCCCAGGGTCATATAGATATACATAACACATGCACACACACAACAACAACTCTACATACGGAAATTATCAAACAATGGTTCTTGAGGCTCCTTTGACTTAAATTCCCATGAAGGTACAAGACATCTTGGCTGACAGGATATGGGTCAACGGTGGTCGTTCCCCTGTAAACCTCGGCTGATCTGACAGGTGAATGTGTGACTAACTGAATCACTTTATGGATCTTGGACTTTAGGCCCTTTGGTATCCTACCCTAACTGTAACATTCATAAGCGTAATTTGGAGAGAGAAAAATGAGAGATTCATATATCAGATGGCTTAGTATATGTCAAGTTTGCTTTAACCAACACAAGGTACAATGATCATAGCCAAAGTGGCCACATACGTTGTGGGTTGGTGCAACTTTATGATGCTTCTTTTTCATTGTGTGATGCGAACGCAATAATTATTTTCCAAGTTTTGAATCAGATTAGAGTAGGTGTGAGAAGGATCAGAATCAAAGCAATAGGATTATTATAAACAACAACTAACACATCTCGAGCAACTGCAGAAACATATCATATCATTTTATATATAGTAGTAGATATAACAAACGTTTCGTTTTCTACAAAAACTTTGAAGCTTATGTGGTGATGGCACCATCAAACTGGTTCTCTAAGTTAACAAGAAGAAGTTCTTAAAAAGTTGCATGGCGAAAACGACTTAAGTTTTAAGATAAGGATTAAGGTTCCTTATTGCTTGGGGGTTAGGAATACTTTCACCATATAAGTTAGGTTTCTCATGAGGTAATTGATGGTTCAAATGAGAGAACCAGCAGGAAATCAGTGTGATTTAACCTTTACTGCACTGTGTAGTGGCTATAATTACACCACCAAGAAGCCAAAAAGAAACAAATTGCATTCAAACTGAAGCAGACAAAATTCATTTAAGATAGTATATAAAAAAGACAATTCAGCCAAAGAAAGAAGGGAAGACAAATTACTTGTGTGAAAGATAACAATAATATGATGGAAGAATTTTTGCCCTTCTTAAGTGGATCACTTTCTTATTAGTGTTGTACACGTTATAGTTTCTGAAGGCATTACGCCAATATGAAGTTCTTTTTTTCTGATATATATAATATTTATATATGGCAAATGAACTCAGACGCACTCCTCACCTACGGTAAGGTTTGAACCCCTGACCTCCTGGAGGCCAAAGACCTGGATACTGCTAGGCCAAAAGACCATTTGGTATGAAGTTCTTTTATTAGATTGGGAAAATCTCCATAAATAGGGGATTGGAGGAAGTGGTACTTTGTGTTCAATCTCTTTTCGTAAGTAATGTCATTCTAGGGTGGTAGAGTTGCCAATCGACTCGAGTTTTCAATAATACGATAATGGTTAAGCCACTTGGTTGAGTTGTATTTTTATATGGCAAGATATTATGATCATGAAATATGATGGTGGAACAACCAATCTAATACCAGAAAACAAAAGGTTTACTTCTCTCCATTAGACTTCCGTCTTTTCACTTTCTGAAAACCATTCACAGCACATTAAGACACTTCAATCTAATGCAGGGATAAACTAAGTATATTCTTTTTCTAAAGGTTGAAGAGTGAATATGTCTCATTTTCAGAAAGAAGTGCTACTAGAAAGCACCTTAATTTCAAGCACTTGATCAACCATCAACAACTTATCACAACATAAAGCATTTACCAATTTTTGCATGTAAAAATAATGCCATAATAGAAGTAGATACCTTTTCTCTCTCTCTCTCTCTCTCTCTCTCTCTCTCTCTCTCCCCCCATAGATCAAAGTCACATCTCGGGTACATCCATAAGATCAAAATAAACCCACAAAGAGACGTACTGCCTGCAAAACATATGCAAATAATGCAATTAGAGCTTTCTTCTGCACTTCTCATGAAACCTTTTACCACTTATCACTCCAAACCTTTTTTGGGAGATGGAACCCACCTGCCGATTATGACAAACTTCCATTAATCTGGGAGATCTTTAACATGATATGGGGATAAGCTTTACCCTTTTAGATATATGTGAAGTGTGCATGATGTATGAATATCAGTGAAGATGTCTGTGACAAATGTTTTTGCAAAATCAGTTTCTAAATAGGCTTATAATATCTCATATCATCAGTTGTAACAAGGCAAGTGGACCACAGACACACACGCACACACACACACACACTCAGCCAATACCAAAAATCTTATGTTTTAGTCTATCATGGAAATGGACAATGGAGACTCTTCACTGCAATTGCTATATGAAGACTGAGCCGTCCAGGTTCAATTGCCAGGAAACATGGTCTGAAGCAAAAGAACATTCATTGTGAATAACGATCGATTACCATGAAAGCAAGCAGGCATGTCAACAATGAAAAAGTGAAAGAAACAAAGCTGATTAAGAAAAAATCCATTGAAATCAATTTTCAGGCTACATGATCTCCAAATAGTAGACCTTGCTCTTTTCATATGGGCTACCGGTTATCTCTGCTCCACAGAAACAATCACTTCATGAACCACATAACCACCAGACTACTTGAGGGGTGTCAATATCCACTCAGGAAGAAGAAACAAACAGTGAAAATCTGCATCCCGATTGCCTCTGCAAAATGCACACTTTCCTTGTCCCTGCATAGAAGGAACCCATGTTCAAGTCTATCTACAATTTTTTTCAAGACACAAGAGGTGTATAAAGAACACCAAAATATAAGCTGAAAACTAAGAAATTTGATAAAAGTGGGATTCAAACCCAAGTGTTTTGTACAAAGGCAGCAACATTTACCAACTCCACCATTAAAGACTTGTGCAAAGAGTTCAGTTTCAGAAAATATAAGGGCACCCAACAAAAAATACAGTGGCACCCATAAAAAATGTAATTTTTTCCCATACAATAGAACCATGAAGAGGTGGCCCATGCTACTGTATGCTCCTACGTAGGTCCGCCCCTGGTTTTACCCCTAAATGTTTAGGACATCTTTGCGTGCTTCGCAAACAACACAACATGAAGACTTCCATTTTCAGAATCTTTGTGGTTAAAGGTCAAACCATGAGACAGCAAGCATGTAATATCTACCAAAATGAAATATGAATTCATGGCTTGGTTGGCTAGCAATCAATCTGAATCATTGAAAAGATGCACTTTTAAGATTACAAACTGCATCATACAACAAAACTGGAAGAAATACATAACTTCCAAGTCCAGGTTGCATCTATGATTCAGTCAGAAACTTTTGCTTTCACTCACACTCATCTATTTTTATTGTTCATATTACCAATAATCCCCACAAGAGCACTCTCCATTCCTGAAATGATGGAAACGTATGCGATCCCTAATTAATATCTCTCGTTGGTAAACACTCGAAATATATTTCATGAAAGAGTGGCAGTCCTCACAAGATCGTAGGTTTTTTACAATCCTAATTATGGTCCCTGGCTTGGCTTTTATCAGTCCAAAAGAGACTGCAAGCTTCTCACTGTGGTGAAGTAGCTGTGATGCTTTCTCTTCATCGTCTATTTCAAGCAAAACCTCTGATAGTTTTGGATAATAACCATTGCCCCTCAATTCCTCCTCTATTTCATCCAACTTCTTATAAATGCTTTCCGCCTCAAAGTGACAAGTACTTCCAGCCATAAATTCATAGATAACACCATCAATCTCAATCCGGCTGTGCCCTGATGGCTTTACAAGCCCTTTTTGATTCATTAGCCGCCTCACCTTTGCTTTATTCTTCCATTTCCCTTTAGATGCATACACATTACCAAGCAGCACATAAGTTCCACAATCATCAGTAGAATCCATCTTTGAACCTTCGACGTGTTTTATTAAATGCTCCACTCTCTGGGTATCTCCATGAACTTTACAAGCCCATATCAAAGATCTCCACAGAACAGCATCAGGTTCAATGGGCATGGATTTGATGAACTCTTGAGCATCTTCTAGTCGTCCAGCTCGAGCAAGCAAATCTACTATGCACCCATAATGTTGTACAGTTGGTCTTACATTATATACTTTCTTGATGTTCTTGAAATATGTTAAACCTTTATCAACCCACCCCATGTTCCTACAAGCCGATAATACAGCAGTCATTGTCTTCTCATCTGGCTTCAAATCAACAATCTCCATGCGATCAAATAATGCAATAGCTTCCCTGCATAGGCCATGGCTTGCAAGGCCAGCTATCATTGCTGTCCAAACATAAACATCTTTATTGACAGCTTCATTGAAAATTCGCATTGCACTATCTATGCACCCGCATTTTGAATACATGTCAATAAGAGCAGTAACAACATTCTTTTTCAACCCAGTTCCTTTACCATTAACATATTCATTCAATTTTATGCCTACACTTAGAGCTCCAGTATCAGCACAAGCTCTAAGAACTGAAATGACAGTAACATCATTCGGTTCAAAACCCTCCATTACCATCTTCTCGAACAATTCTAAACCCTCAACAGTCCTCTTATTATCAACAAACCCATTAATTATCGAAGTCCATGAAACCACATCTCTCTCATGCATTTTATCAAACACTTTCCATGCTAGTCCCGTTTCATCACAACCCGAATAGAAATGGATCAGGGCATTTTGAATATACAAATCCAGGGCAAACCCAGACTTGTATATCAACCCGTGGAGCTGCTGACCGAATCTTTTTTGTTTTAGCTTGGAGCAGGCTTTGAGGACAAACGGGTAAGTGAAACTGTCAGGTGTAGGAGACAATGGGTCTTCGCAATTATGCAAGGTGAGGAAGAGGGAGATGGACTGAATGGGGTCAGGTGAGTCAGAGTAAGCTCGTATCATGGTATTGTGGAAATACGAATTGGTTGGGGTTTGTAGAGAGTTAAGAATGTGGCGTGCGTATGTGAGGTTACCAGAAGGAGATAGAGCAGTGAAATTGAAGATTTTGCTTAGGTTTTGAGGATCCGTTTGTGGGTATTTCAGAAATTGGGCGTGTAGTTGTGTAGCTTGCGCCATTGTTGTGATTTCCATGGTTCCTGTAAAAGAGGGATGTTAACTCTTCGCAGGCGGGAATCCATAATAATAATAATTCTTCTGTTATTAGGGTATGATTAGGGATGGGAATGGACCCCGACCCGTCGGGTAACCCGGTCCACCCGCCCCGGTCGGGGACGGGGATTCCCCGAAAAATCGGGTCTCGGGGACGGGGACGGGGATCCCCGCTTGGCGCAAGCCGGGGACGGGGACGGGGACGGGGACGGGTATATCACTCCCC